GTTATCATCACTAAACATCCAGAGCTGTCACCACCACACGGGCTGAGTTATTACCATCACACTGGCAGAGTTATCATCACTACATATCCAGAGTTATCACCACCACACAGACAGTTGTCACCACCACACAGGCGGAATTATCACCACCACACTAGCGCAGTTATCACCACTACACACCCAGAGTTATCAACACCGCCACACTGGCACAGTTATCACCACCACACAGTTATCACCACCACAGGCAGAGTTATCACCACCACAATGGCACAGTTATCATCACCACAGGCGGAATTATCACCACCACACAGGTAGAGTTATTACCACCACACAGACAGAATCATCACCATTACACAGGCAGAGTTATCACCAAGACAATGGCACAGTTATCACTACCGCAAAGATAGAGTTATCACCACTACAAAAGCAGAGTTATCACCACCACAATGGAACAAGTATCACCACCACAGACAGAATTATCACCTCCACACACCCAGAGTTATCACCACCGCCACACTGGCACAGTCATTACCACCACACAGAGTTATCACCACCATACAGCCAGAGTTATAGCCCTTCAACTATGTCAAACAAACAGGCAGGGTGAAAAGGCAGAGTGTTCCAGTGGCTCACGAAATCGTTATTACACGATTGCAAGCAAACTGTAACACGGGCGGGATAAGAACCCGCGATCAGAGATTCGTCTGTAAAATCTTGCGTTTGTGGTCACTGTGGTGTCTATGCTAATCTTCTTTTGGTGTATAAATATACCTAATTGGATTAATCTTATTGTAACCAGCTGGTCCAGTGGCTAACCCGTCGGTCTGGAGTTTTATGACTCTCTGATCGTGGGTTCTATCCCTCGCCCGTGGTATGGCTTTTTCCAGTTGGTCAGGCAGTACCTGAATGAAAGAAGGAAAAGTAACAATACGGATGAAAATTGGAATAGGGCTGAATCCAATGTGGCACTGTTTGAGGATGATGTGCGTTACCTGAGAGTAATTGACAAAGACGCAGAAGACCTCTCCGAAGGGCCAGTACTGGAGAACGATGATGGAGGCCACTGAGAAGGGTACACAGAGCACCATAATAAGCAGGTCTCCGACTGCCAGGTTAGCGATGAAGAGGTTAGTAACCGTGTGCATCTTGCGGTTAGCGGCTACGGTGTATAGCACCAGGGAGTTGCCCACCAGAGCTAACAGAAAGATAGCCGCGTACATCTTGTAAATCAGAGCTATGTATGGGTACTGGGAGGGCATGCAAATGCCAGAGTAGATGAGTATGTCCAACTCCTCCTCGGTGATATTGCAGTACTGACAGTGAGAGTACTCCTGCAGGCTGAAGCTCTCATTCTCCCACAGGCTGCTCTTGTTGTCCCAGTACCAGAGACTTAGAAACTCTTCGTTGCAACGCTCAAGAATGTCTTCCACGCTGGGGGTCAGGACGGCCGAGGTAGCACCGCCCTGGTTGAGCTCGATGTGGCCCGAGCTGTTTACTGTCATAATGAGACAAAGGAAATGAGAAACAAAGAGCTTGTATGCCAGTCTGCGTCTCTATGTATGGGTAAGGAGTTCATACAACAAAGCAGAGAGCCTTTTGCTTTACTATCATTGACTCTGATGCGTAGATAATACACGTTAGTCCTTAATCTATGTCGAATAGACAGTACTTCGCAGCAGATAGAATGTATGGATTTCCCAGCCCTCTGCTATCTGCTTTTCCCATGTACTCCACGTACCGAAAGCAAGACAGTTTGCACACTCCTCCTGACCAACCCAACTTTTCAGGGACCGACCTGCTATTAGTGGTCTCAGGACTGGGTCTCCACAACACCTTGCTATTTTTTTTCTACATAGGTCTCACTACCACAGGATTATGAACTATGACAAAAGCCGTCGGAAAGGATTGTGGCACTATTTCTCACCATCAGCGTCAGGAAGGTCGCTCCCACAGTGTCCACATCACCTGATGGGTTGTTACATCTCCGTCTAACGATTAGCGGCCGAATGATCGACCCACCAATTGCCCTTTGGGCTGAATAGCACACACGGGTTTAGCCCTTTACACTAATGTAAAAATAAGGTATTAGTTTACTAATGGAAATCATTAATGCTTAATAAATTCGCAAGTGCTCGTGGTAACAACTTGGTAATGAAAGGATTACTATAATTTTTAGTAATTTAAAAAAAGAAAGATATTACTTAAATGGATTTTTTCAAATTAAATAATTGCCACGAAGGTAATCATGATATTTAAAAAAAATTAAGATGGCCGATTTTACGTTTCTTGAGATGTCCAGAATTGTTCCAGAATTCTTCCTTTTCATCTTCAGGCTGAGATTTCAAGATACTTCAAGGTTATCTGTTATCGGTCTTCTTTACTATGATAACTTTTCCTCTGAGGTTATCTTATAACTGTCTTTTACGTTGATATTCGCCAGTCTTCATGTGATGTGCATTGCATCTTCTGAACATCCTCTTCAGTGATCAGCGCTGTCAGTTCTCTGTAAAGGAAAGAAAGGTATTGTATACGAAAGTTCATAGGGAATTTAATTTAAATGTTGTAAACACACACACACACACACACACACACACAGAGGAGCTGTGACTCGACCCCTGCAACAACAGTTAGGTGAGTACACATACACATAGATACGATAGAGCTCATGGAGCAGTGAGAGAGTGGAACTAGTACTGACCAGCGAAGAGGCGGGGCCAGGAGTAGTGACTCAACCTATGCAACCACAAATAGCTGAGAACACACACACACACACATTGGGAGGAATATATCAGTAAAGAGAAGGAAGAAACAAGATTTAAGATAATGTGACAATATGGGTATGAGAATTATTAAACACAGTGTAACAGGAAAGAGAGAGAAGAATAAATGAACGAGATAATGGAGACTCTGGCTAGGAAATGCTAGTAGACAGAAAAAAATCACCAGGCGGAAGCAGAATATTCAAGAGTAAGAACAATGTGTGTGTGTGTGTGTATGTTGCAGGGGTCAGGTCTTAGCTCCTGGTCTGCCTCTCAACTTGCAACTGCCAGATTCACTCCCTAGTTGCGTCGCTATCCCTAGCGTACCTTCTCTTAAAACTATATAATACACGTGTGTGCTCGTTTGTGTGTGTGTGTGTGTGTGTGTGTGTGTGTGTGTGTGTGTGTGTGTGTGTGTGTGTGTATGTATGTATGTGTGTGTGTGTGTGTGTGTGTGTGTGTGCAATGACCATGAGAGTAAGGATCCAAAATGTGGGGGTGTAATCAGTGCATGTGGATGATTGAGAAGAATGAATTCTGCAGCAAGGAGAGTTGGGAAGGTATCTGGGTATTGGTGATTGAATCCTGTGGTCGGATGAGATATTAAGAGATCAAGGAGAGGTATTAAGCCAATTGAAGTAATATCTGCAGTCGTGAATAGGGCTCGAATGTGGATGTATTCTGGGGCAAAATTAAATCTTCTGGTGGACTGAGTGTGAGGAGGAGAGAGTGAGAGTGAGTGAGAGAGAGAAAAAAAAAGAAATAGAGATAGAGAGAGAGAGAGAGAGAGAGAGAGAGAGAGAGACAGACAGACAGACAGACAGACAGACAGAGGAGTAGGGAGAGAGGGAGTCATACAGACAGGTAGGCAGAGAAGATTGTTCCTCAGATGCGCTGACCATGATGTCGTGGCATCATCTTATACACCATCCCAAAATTGTCAATATCCTTCACTCTACCCAACCTCATGGACACCCAGAAAGCAGCTATTATACAACAAGACGCGCAGCCAACAAACGTGTTCTTGTGGACAAACCACAAGACTATGAGAATCACATTTTATCAACATTAGAGGCGAATCTCAGACTCTCCTGTAGAAGTCCTTTGCACCCACTCAAAAAACAAAATCAGACATTTAAGATATTCCCAAAAGAATTTTTGGGTTAAATACACTTAGGATGGGACTTTGATAAAAATAAATGGAAATTCTGCATACAATTTAAAGTGGCCATAATGGTTGGATAATAATTAATGGGTTAGAAAACTGGTTTGAACTGAATTTGTAACAATATATGAAAATAAATTACTCTTAATAGATATTAATTCTTCCCAAACAACGAACTGATCTAGTTTCATTGAGCAAATCAATCATGCAATTTTTTCTCTCTAATTCTTTAATAAAAAATATAATATAATATATATATATATATAATATATATATATATATATATATATATATATATATATATATATATATATATATTATATATATATATATATATATATATATATATATGCAAAACAACCACTCTGAAAGAATAGAGAAACCTACAAATAACTGTTCCTATGTCCACTATTATTCCTCGCATCAAGATAGAGTCAAACTGTCTGTTTTCTCATCAATGTTTTTGAGAGCTTTACGAATTTGTAGTCCTGAGTTCATAGATGAGGAAATATCCAAAATTTATGAAATAGGTAATGATTTAAAATATCCAAGAAATGTAATTGATAAATCTTTTAAAGTTGCTAGGAACACTTTTTATAATCCAAAAAAGGGACAACCAGCCTTATTCAACTAAAAATATGTTGGTTCTCCCTTACCATGAAAACTTGGTTGATATGCCTTCTCTTCTTAAGACTTTTAATATTAAAGTTGTATTCAAAAATCTTGATACAGTAAAAAACTTTTGATTAAGAATTCCCCCCAAAATGCTGATGGATGTGTCTATAAGATTCCTTGTAAAATTTGCGATAAAGTTTATTACGGTCAAACTGGTAAAAATCTCGAACTAAGATTAAAACAACATAAATATAGCATTAGAACTGGACAAGATTCCAATGCTCTATTTATTCATGTAAGAGATTTTAACCATCCAATTGATTTTCAAAAAGTTGAGAAAGTAGTATCAAGCAAGTCCATGGTCGACAGGAATATAATTGAATCTTGTTTCATAAAAAGCAGTTTTGACAATAATATGAATATTTCCTTTGGTTTATATAAATTAGATCTATTTATAATTAATAGAATTTGGGAAGAATTTAATAATACACTGGACAAATAAATAGCTTGGGGGTGAATTTTGCAAAGGACCTATCCAAGTTGGCTCGCCGCGCGTCACGTGTTTAACCGTTATGGGATCTGATAGTGAGGTGCTGGCCGACCCCTTTATATAGCTTCCTTGGATGCTTCACTTTCATAGTTCCTTGATAATGTGAGTAGTCACGAAAGCGCTTGGAATTTCTCTATTCTTTCAGAGTGGTTGTTTTGCATATTTTGAAATCACCTGTTTACTGTGATCTTATTGCATATATATATATATATATATTTATATATATTATATATATATATATATAGATATATATTTATATATATATATATATATATATATATATATATATATATTATGCAAAACAACCACTGTGAAAGAACAGAGAAATTCCAAGCGCTTTCGTGACTACTCACATTATCAAGGAACAATCTCCTTGATGATAATGTGAGTAGTCACGTAAGCGCTTGGAATTTCTCTATTCTTTCACAGTGGTTGTTTTGCATATTCTGAAATCACCTGTTTATTGTGATCTTATTGCATATATAGGTTGGTAGACAGCAACCATCCAGGGAAGTACTACCGTCCTGTCAGATGACTGTGAAACAGAAACCTGTAACTGTTTTGCATGATGGTAGGATTGCTGGTTTCTTTTTCTGTCTCATAAACATGCTACATAACAGGGATATCTTGCTACTCCTACTTACACTTTGGTCACACTTCACAGACACGCACATGCATATATATATACATACATCTAGGTTTTTCTCCTTTTTCTAAATAGCTCTTGTTCTTCTTTATTTCTTCTATTGTCCATGGGGAAGTGGAAAAGAATCTTTCCTCCGTAAGCCATGCGTGTCGTATGAGGCGACTAAAATGCCGGGAGCAATGGGTAGTAACCCCTTCCTCCTGTAGACATTCACTAAAAAAGAGAAGAAGAAAAACTTTTATAAAACTGGGATGCTTGAATGTGCGTGGATGTAGTGCGGATGACAAGAAAACAGATGATTGCTGATGTTATGAATGAAAAGAAGTTGGATGTCCTGGCCCTAAGCGAAACAAAGCTGAAGGGGTAGGGGAGTTTTGGTGGGGGGAAATAAATGGGATTAAATCTGGAGTATCTGAGAGAGCTAGAGCAAAGGAAGGGTTTAGCAGTAATATTGAAGGATCAGTTATGGAAGGAGAAAAGAGAATATGAATGTGTAAATTCAAGAATTATGTGGATAAAGAAAAGGTTGGATGCGAAAAGTGGGTCATAATAAAGCGTGTATGCACCTGGAGAAGAGAGGAATGTAGAGGAGCGAGAGAGATTTTGGGAGATGTTAGTGAATGTGTAGGAGCCTTTGAACCAAGTGAGAGAGTAATTGTGGTAGGGGACCTGAATGCTAAAGTAGGAGAAACTTTTAGAGAGGGTTGTGGTAGGTAAGTTTGGGGTGCCAGGTGTAAATGAAAATGGGAGCCCTTTGATTGAACTTTGTATAGAAAGGGTTTAGTTATAGGTAATACATATTTTAAGAAAAAGAGGATAAATAAGTATACAGGATATGATGTAGGGCGAAATGATAGTAGTTTGTTGGATTATGTATTGGTAGATAAAAGACTGTTGAGTAGACTTCAGGATGTACATGTTTATAGAGGGGCCACAGATATATCAGATCACTTTCCGTTGTAGCTACACTGAGAGTAAAAGGTAGATGGGATACAAGGAGAATAGAAGCATCAGGGAAGAGAGAGGTGAAGGTTTTATAAACTAAAAGAGGAGGCAGTTAGGGTAAGATATAAACAGCTATTGGAGGATAGATGGGCTAATGAGAGCACAGGCAATGGGGTCGAAGAGGTATGGGGAGTTTAAAAATGTAGTGTTTGAGTGTTCAGCAGAAGTTTGTGGTTACAGGAAAGTGGGTGTGGGAGGGAAGAGGACGATTGGTGGAATGATAATGTAAAGAGAGCAGTAAGGGAGAAAAAGTTAGCATATGAGAAGTTTTTACAAAGTAGAAGTGATGCAAGGAGGGAAGAGTATAGGGAGAAAAAGAGAGAGGTTAAGAGAGTGGTGAAGCAATGTAAAAAGAGAGCAAATGAGAGAGTGGGTGAGATGTTATCAACAAATTTTGTTGAAAATAAGAAAGTTTTGGAGTGAGATAAAAAAGTTAAGGAAGCCTAGAGAACAAATGGATTTGTCAGTTAAAAATAGGAGAGGAGAGTTATTAAATGGAGAGTTAGAGGCATTGGGAAGATGGAGGGAATATTTTGAGGAATTGTTAAATGTTGATGAAGATAGGGAAGCTGTGATTTCGTGTATAGGGCAAGGAGGAATAACATCTTGTAGGAGTGAGGAAGAGCCAGTTGTGAGTGTGGGGTGAGTTCGTGAGGCAGTAGGTAAAATGAAAGGGGGTAAGGCAGCCGGGATTGATGGGATAAAGATAAAAATGTTAAAAGCAGGTGGGGATATAGTTTTGGAGTGGTTGGTGCAGTTATTT